CGGGCGCGGTTCCACGCAGGCCGGAGCGGGCCCGGCGGCGAGGGTCGCGGCGGGGAAAGGCGGTTTTCAGGCCGCGTTCTCCGGGGGCGCGGCGGGAAGCGCCCGCGTGGCCGTTGCTTCCTGCACGCACACGCCCGGTGCCCGCACCGCAGCGGGATGCGCCGCGTGGGCTCCGCGCCGCGCGGCTCCCGTGGCTCCGCGGGGACGCGCTAGGAGCAGCTGCGCTGCTTCCGAGCGCCGGGAACGGCATGGGGGGCCCTGCCGGCTGCCTGGCCTCAGCCCCGGGTACTACACGGTGTCCCGGTGTGTAGCAGCGTTACGGCACCAAAAGCAAACGCACATCCTGAGGGAGGCGAGCTGTGCCCTAACCCCGTGTCCCTTGTCACAGTACATAGCCGTGCACATCATACCTGACCAGATGATGTCCTTTGGCGGCTCCACGGACCCCTGCGCTCTCTGCAGTCTGCACAGCATTGGCAAAATAGGAGGGCAGCAGAACAAGAGCTACACCAAGCTCCTCTGTGACCTGATCTCCAAGCACTTGCATGTATCTGCAGACAGGTAAGGCTGGGAGAGGATGCTAACTTTGTCTCTCTCTCTGAAACTCCCTTGAAAACTCCATTTAGAAAGAATAAAAAGCCATGATGTGTGTATGTTTGAAAAGATGTGCAGTGATCATGCATTTTTGTTCACGTCCAGTTAAGAATCTGCCTACACTTTCCCTTGAGAGTTCTCTATTGAATGGCTTCGTGATACTGGAGTAGGGAGAAATATCACACAAGCGACAGAGCAGGGTTTGGCCTTGGAGGCTTGATGTCTTGTCCTCTCATGAGGGGAGACCAGAAGCAGAAGGGAAGAGTAACAGGCTGGAGTTGAAAGATGGAGAAACCAGAAAGGAGCCAGCGGGTTGTGGATGGCCCCTTGGCAGCCTGGCAGAGCCCAGGATGGGGCCTGCGAGCTGTGGGGAAGGACAGGAATAATCTGCTGTCGCTCACATCTGGAATGGGATGGAAGAACCGCAGAGCCGGCCCCAGGGCCTGCTTGACATTCATGAGAAACTGCCCGACTGCTTGACACTTGTGAACCACTGCAGCACTCCGCAACCAGAGGTTGTGGTCTCCTGAAATTTGTGACTGCTCCTAACAACAGCTCTTCAGTGTCTGAATAGTTCATGACCAAAGAAGAGAGTTTATATTTCAGCAAACAAAGTGCAGTTTCAGGTACTCCAAAGAATCTTGGCTGTTGGAAACTCTGTCCAAAAAGTTAGCTAGATTTCACCAAAAACACTATCAAAAATGCATGTCTGAAGTTGCTTCTCCTGGGTATCAGGAAGCATTGTCCCTCACCCCAAACATCCCAAAGACTATTTAAAATAAACGGTTTAATAATTTCATTGCCTTTCTGCAGGGTGTACATCAACTACTATGACATGAATGCCGCCAATGTGGGCTGGAATGGTTCCACCTTTGCGTAGAGCTCTCACGTCTGACCAAAGAGGAAATTCCTGGACCTGCCCTTCTCCTGCCAGTTAGCAGAGACCTCTGCACAAACGGCCCCGTGTTTTGTGCACCCTCACTGATCGATGGCTCCTCGTTAGTGTGTCCACCACTTGCTGCTTCAACATTCCTGTTTTCTCTATGTAGAAAACAAATAAAGAATTAGAAGGAAGCTGTCTGGTGTGAGTTTTACCGGACAGGTAGGGGATGCAGTTGGGTTATCTCGGATATCTGTTTCATTCTGGTTGGTTTCCTCCTTTCTCAGACATGCAATTTCACTGTACGGTCTAGAGGGCAGGTCCTTCATAGCACTCTGTGGACATGTCCCTGGTGCCGGGATCCAGAGGCTACAGTTGCCTTCAGGCCTCCACATTGCTCTGGCTGCCATTGTGCATCTTTTATGTCCTTCGTTTGTCTCTTCCTTCCCTGTGTTGGAAACAGCCCTGGGACCAGTCCTGTTCTTGCTGCTTCGGGGAGCCCTTCCATGAGCTGCCTGCCTGGGCAGGACCAGGACAGGAGGGATGTGCTGTCAGTCTGGGTGCAGAGCTGCTGCCCTGCGCATGGCTCCCTCCAGGCGGGCGGCGTGTGGGGAGCGGCCACTGGCAGCTCCCGG